GGCGGTTTAAGGACGTACATCCTCCAGAGTCTACCGATCTGGCGCTTCTAGCAGCGTGAAGGGTATTATCACCCAACGACACCGAAGGGGGCACAGAAAAAGGGAAAATGCATTTGACATAAGAAAATGAACCTAGAAATGGACGATATACAGGACCATCAAATGCTCTCTATAAAGATACCCCTCGTGCTCTCTCTGCCTGAATCCGTCTCATTTCACCATTATAGCAACTCGTTTGTGACAACCCCTATGACCGATCTTATTCTAGGCAGCAGGAGTGCGTTAGCATCGTCGACGAAGCCCATGGTCACCAACCGTCGGCCTATTGCTCCGCATCTCGCTGCACCATCGAACACGCATAAACCTTCTGAATCCCCGGCCATCGGAGTGGGGGAAAGCAAGAGGGAAGTAAGGAAAATAAAAGGAAAAATAAAAGGAGTACAAGAGACAGTGGAGCAGTAGACAAGGTGACACATCTATAAATCCAAATCCGACTCGGAGATTAGATACCAAGGGTGAACTCAACGCCAACGTCGATCTCGCGGGCCATCTTGACGACCTTGGAGAACTGGACAGACTTCTCAGCAGCGCTCTGGAGATCCTCAATGGAGAAGATCTTGAGGCCAGACTCGTTGATCTGCAAATAACGTCAGTTAGCTTGTGATTTTGTTACGCTGATCCCCCAATAAATGGTAAGAACATACCAGCTTGTGAGCCTGCTCCATGTTGGTACCCTGCAGACGGGCAACGATGGGAGTGCGCAGACCCATCTCCTGCACAACGTTGATCAAACCCTGGGCAATAGCGTCGCAGCGGACGATACCACCGAAGATGTTGACGAAGATGGCAGTCACCTTGGGGTCGCTGGTGATGAGCTCGAAAGCGGACTTAATGGCGGCGGGAGTGGCACCACCACCGACATCGAGGAAGTTGGCGGGGGCACCGCCGTTGAGCTTGATGATATCCATGGTGGCCATGGCAAGACCAGCACCGTTAACTATGGCGACCGTTAGCATAAATCTTATCAGTCGAGTGTGATGGACCCATACCCAGGCATCCAATGTCACCGTCAAGCTTGATGAAGTTCAGACCGTGCCTATGCCGTAGATTAGAATGCTTTCGAACATTGTAATTGTAAGAGCCAGGAAGATCTTACTCGGCAGCCTTGACCTCATCGGCGTCTTCCTGGGTAGTGTCTCTCCAGGAGAAGACCTCCTTCTGGCGGAATTCGGCGTTGTCATCGAAGCCAAGCTTGGCATCCATGGCCATGACCTTGTGGTCGGAGGTCTCAGACAGAGGGTTGATCTCGATCTGGGTAGCATCCTTCTCCATGAAGACCTTGTAGAGCTTCTGGATGGTGTCCTTGGCCTCCTCGACGCACTGCTCGGAGAAGCCGAGCTCGGTGACGATCTTGTGAGCAATGGCATCGGTCACACCAACCTTGATGTCAATGGGAGTGGTGATGATAGCCTCGGGGTTCTCCTTGGCGACGGCCTCAATGTCCATACCACCTTGCGACGAGGCGACAATGACGGGGCTCTGAGAGGCGCGGTCCATGAGGACGGCAAGGTAGAACTCGCGGCGAGCGAACTTGCGCTCACAGATGTAGACAGAGTTGCAAAGACGACCAGCAGCGCCAGTCTGCTTCGTGATGAGCTTCTGTCCGATCATCTGGCTAGCGAACATCTTGGCCTCGGTAGGCCTAAAATTTTATAACATATCAGCGCAAGGGAAGACTCGGAATCACGCGGGTCGCACTCACGAGTAGATCACGCGCACACCACCCTTAAGGCCATTGTCGAAAGTACCCTTACCACGACCACCAGCAAGGACCTGGGCCTTGATGACCATGTCGTCATTACCTATAACGTCCCTGTCTTAGTAGCCGTCGCGACTTTTGGGTTGGAGCATGGCGGATCACAAAAACGTACCGAGGGACTTGGCAACGGCCTCAGCCTCCTCCGCGGAGCGGGCGACTTCACCCTTGGGCATGCCGACGCCATACTGTAGTATCGTATTAGTGATGATCGCAAGGCGAAATTTTACAGCAGAATTTTGGGTGCCCGACGCACCGACTTGAGCAGGTTCGCAGACAGGTATTCGTGGATCGACAGGTTTCTCTGTTGCTGAGCAACACGGGACTGGACGGAAGATTCCTGTCAACAACGGAGATGTTAGCACGCCGATCTACCTTGAAGAGATTTGGCAGGAGGTAAGGGCAAAAGGGCCCAGGGATGCTTACCGTCGCAGCCCTCAAAGCTGCCGTAACCGGTTTGCTGCGGGCAAGCTTGAACATGGTGACTGAGGTATTTAGATGAAAGGAGAGGAGAGGGATCAAAAAAGTCTTGTCGGGGAGAGAGAGGTGACAAGAACAAGAGTATCCTCCGACGTGAGGTTATGCGGGAGAAGATGGGGGAGGTATTTGGGGTGTTGATGGGAGAACAGCTTTCTTTTTCGCGGCTGCGCTTCTCGGGATGATAATTGCCTTGGGAGTAGCCATCGGCAGTCACCTGACGGGCCAACCAGCGTGCGCCTCGGGATGATTAAGCAGCACAGTTTCCGACGCGAATATCACGGAACGGGGCCATCCTCTCGCCTGGTCCCTATCGAGTCTGAAGCTCGTCGATGGCCTACTTGGGGCGGTCAGCATGGATCCGAACCCGTAGGCAACATCAGTGAGAAATATCTTGTGCAGAGGAAATCATGATATCTCGGCTTCGTTTGTGAAGTTACTATGCCTCTCGGGCAGCGTAGTTCTTCTACTGGCGCCTCGCCCCGAACCCGAACCCTGAATCCGCCGGCTTGTCCTCCTAGCCCGGGGGCATACGGCAAATGGTTTAAACGGTCTTACGGCGTCGGCATGCACCATCTATTCCCCTACAATGTCGAAAGACCAGACTTACTGATGTCAAGCAAACGGTTCAAGCAGAGAAGATGACATCCCAACCAGAAAACGCCGTGTTTTGAAATGCTAATACTACACTTGGACCGAATGACCCGAAGGATCGACGAGAACCCCGTCCAGCAGAACAGATTCATCCGTCCTTACGCCGTCCCCTCTTCCTTCATTTCCCAGCAGCTCTTCTAAGTCTGTTGAGTTTGAACATCTTCGTCACAACCTTCCCAGACAGACCGTTCCAGGCCCATCCTCCCATAAGCAGCCAGATCAACCAGCTTTTGTTACCTTCCCAGATCCAGTTCTTCCGACCTTGCGCCCAGGGCCAAATCCAGCGCCATGGTGCAGACCCATAGAGGACCTGTGTGACCACGCTGCGAGCGTATGCTTCGTTTGGCATGGCCCCAGCCTGGCTATGTACCACCCGTCGGTTATATTCGTCCTCGATTGGTGTATAGATTGAGCCGGGAACCAGAGTACGCTTGACACGGGCGATGCGAGATTGCACACCCCCGGTAACGACGGTAGTGACGTGCACACTTGATATTTCCGTATCAATAAATCTGTTGCAGGGCGGAGGGGGCGTATTGAAGTAACATACCAGAACGGAGCTAGTTCCACGCGCAAGGCATCGCTGAACGAGTGCACCGCAGCCTTTGAGGCGTTGTATACGGACCCGAAAACGTAGGGAACAACCTGGACCAGTATCAGCACAAGTAGCTTCCCTTAAAGCTTATCTTCGAGCACACCCACCCCAGCAACAGAACCAATCTGTACAATAGTTCCCTTGGCCTTCATAAGTAGCGGTAGGAAGGTCTGGCAAATGTGTACAACCGCGACAAAGTTCGTTTCGAACGTGTCACGGATTTCGGAGAGCTCTGCCTCCATAGCTGGCACAGTATAATCTATCATGCATAAGAAAGGGTTTCCATGAAGTCATAATAATAATCAGACGTACTCCGGCCACTGGCGACTATATCAGCTCATGAAGTGTCACCGGATGAAAGGTGACAACTTACGCGTTATTGACGAGATAATCCAGTCCTTTCTCCCCAAGCTTTTCTTTCACTTCTTCAAAGCATCGTCGGACGCTTTCCTCATCGTCCACAGTAAGACTCAAGGTCTCAATCCCAATAGACGATAGATCTTCGATTGTCTTTGCATCACGGGCAGTAGCGAACACACGCAAACCATTCCGATGGAACTCACGGGCCATAGAGTTCCCAATACCGCCAGGAGAGCATCTGCATGATTAGGCGGCATAAGTAATAAGTAACATGTCAACGGAGATAATAATCATAAGGGGATTACGATCATGTGCAACACCTACCCTGTAATCAGCACAGACTTCCGTCCGTCTTCGGTTCCTCTCATTGTGCTTTAAAGCGGGGCCGATGGAGAATGACTGTCGAAGGTGCGGGATCTGATGTATCTTAATGATCTGTCACAAAAATCAGGCTAAAGTTGGAAGTCCTTCTCCGACGCTTCCTGCTATCTATGTACCTACCCTGCCGATCACACTAGTTCAGATGCAGAACCTCGGTAAGATTACCACATGTAAAAAGGAACATATACCTTACTCCCGACACATGCTGCCAGCTGCTCAACCTCCCGGCGGCATTTCGTTTTAATTAGCATTCTGTATATCTGGCCGTTACTTTAATCTTGAAATTCTACAGAGAAGGTGATGTAGCTTTCCGTTTAGCAATGAAATATAGATTTTATACTGATTACCCGAACTTGACACGATACTAAGTTACTGTATACTACCCAGATAGCCACAGTTTCTCATAACTCTTATGGCATTCTCAGCAGCACAGGGGTACCAAATTGGCCATCTGTATTTAAACATGATCGCATCCCAGAAGTGTTACTGTTGTAGATGTTGACCCGGAAATAAAATATTCCGGCACGCTTCGTGTAAGGAAATAACGTACTCGCGAAGATGTACTATGCACTATACTTAGGAGGAGGATTTATGAGATTCTAAAATAATACGACAATACCAGATCTGGATCTGAAAGCCAGCATCGCGCAGGGATAACCACGTAGTAAGTGGCATATGCAAGATGAGGTGTACCTGCAGGCTTGAGTTTATAACTATCCATCCTATCCCATGCTAGGGATACAGATAGCTAGATCTCTAACATCTATCTAAAGATGGGTCATGAATGGGTCGTCTTTACTTCATGTGTCTCAAAATCTCTCAGCTTAGTTATCGTGCTGATCATGAGGTAGGATGTGCATCCCTTGGGCAGTATCGACGGAAAAGGGTTAGAAGAAGATAGCTGTGCTTTCGCCAATTTGTTCAGGGCTGGCTAACTGGGAAATAGCTCAATACTAGTATGACGGGCAATATATAATCGATCGAGAAAATTGTAAGCTGGTTACTGCGCAGCACTAAGTAACTGATCATAGACTTCATTGGAGAAGTCTTGAGGAGTCGGTAAGTACTGTACTCTTGCAACGCAACGTAACGAATCACAATACAATTTTTATCTGCCGCAGGATTGATGAATACGAGAGTAGTATTTGTCAGTACCATGCAGGCAATAATTGGGTGACGAAGGCTAGATGTTCTGATCTAGTGGTACATAGTTGGTACCAAGCTTTCGGGCTACTTACTAACAGTAGATACTAGATCCATCCATATAGATAGTCGACGTATGCTTCCCGCTTCCCGCTTCCCCGCTACGAAAATGGAGGCGTGCCGATATCCGAGAGGCAACAGATTGATTCATTGCCTGCCCAATATGTCGCCCTCGGACTTACGGCAGTGATACTACTGCCCTCCACATTTTGCAGACCAAGAGCCAGAAGGCTGCTCTAGACAATCACTTACACGCATCTGCCCCGAATCAGCTGTGTCGAAGCGTCTTGACTATTATTGACGGCCCTTTTCGCTCACCCGCTTGGCCCCGAACGAACCCTCCTCTTACAAAGTACACCGGGAAGATCCCATTGGTGTGATTGGTGCCAACACCCGGCGAAGTGGACGGCGGCCTCCTGTTAGCATTTAGCAGAGGAAATCAGTGCCGCGATGATGACATGCGAGGAGCTATAACTACTAACTAGTTGGCCCGTCGAATCTTGATCGCTGCCGCACTGCAGTCGCTTGTTATTTATTTTTTATTTATTTTTAATTTTTTTATTCTCTGCGCTTTCCTAACTCTCACTGTGGTGGCTAGTTTCCCTTGCTGTACTTAACCTACTATATACGTCCTCCCAGCCCTATGCGTTTCAGTTCCAACTGTGTGTGAAACCAAGTCTTACGCGTGGGCTTTCCTGGCTTTGTCGATCTGGGGCCGATCTTTCCTCTACGTCATTTTCTATCTCCTTTCCCTTTCAACTTTGTATCCCTGATTCCAAGCGATTCTTTTCTTGAAGAAGAAAAGCAAATCTGTGTGGTCGTCATCACCATTTCCCCCCTAGCAGGTTGACTCCTTGTGTGTGTGTGTGTGTGTGTGTGTGTTTCAGATCGAGTTGTGAAGTACTATATAGTTGGAGACCGACATTTTTGACTTGAGAAAACCCTACCCAGCAAGGGAAGTTGCATTTCGAGGAACCTGTTCCAAAACGGATCAGCAGGGGATCTGATTTGAGACTTTGTCCAAGGAATCACAAACATGACTGTGTCCCTACCCACAGAGAACCCGCAATGACTCCGGATCGCTTGTTTCCCAGACACCTGAGAAGCCCAGGGGATGATGGCTACCGAACCCCAACCATTGAAGATACCCAAAATGACCTTGCAGGAAATACTGGCGGCGATTCTTACTTTCACCCTAGAGGATCTATAATAAGCCAAGCCCACACCTCGGCATTAGACGCCATTCACAGCTCTTCATATCGCAAGTCTGAAGGAGATGGAGACGAGGGTGTGGATGGAATGGCTTACCCCCAGAGTGAAGCCGAAACCAGACCAACTGGTCTTGGATGGAAGAAGCGTATTCGTCACATTACCTGGGCATATTTCACCCTGACTATGGCAACTGGGGGAATCGCAAATGTTTTGTACTTTGGTGAGTGTGCCCTTGTCTTATGTAGGTATGGGGTAAATGTACTGATCGCCAGTATGAAATAGTACCCTATAGATTTCGCGGCTTGGAAACCATTGGAATTATCTTCTTCCTAGCCAACTTGTTCCTCTACATCTTAATTTGGTGTCTTTTGATCACACGATTCTACCTATACCCTTACACTTTCAAAGCATCCTTCCTGCATCCGACAGAGTCATTATTTGTTCCGGCTTCGCTGGTCTCTTTCGGGACGATTCTGATCAATATCTCACAATATGGACCCGACCACACAGGGCCCTGGCTTACATATGCGGTCGGAATCTTATTTTGGATTGATGCAGCCCTGGCAGTCATCTCTTCTGCCGCTATTTACCTCATTCTGTGAGTGCAAAGAGCCCTAATATTAGACATGTTAGCCTAGAAACCAAGCAGGACAACTAACGAGCTATAGGTGGTCGACCCAGACATTTACGATTGCACAAATGACACCTATTTGGATCTTCCCTGCGTACCCAATGCTTATAATAGGCCCTCATGCTGGGATCCTGAGCTCCAAACTTGAGCCTGCTCGCTCTTTGCGAATCATAATTGGTGGTACCACTATCCAAGGCGTTGGCTTCTTGGTATCTCTGATGGTGTACTCGGCTTTTATCTACCGGCTGATGTCGCAAAAGCTCCCCCGAGAAAATGTCCGACCTGGTATGTTCGTGTCGGTTGGTCCCAGTGCGTTTACCGTGTCTGGGATTGTCAATATGGCAGCCCATGCCAAAAGAAGCTTCCCGGAGGATTTCATGGGCAATGGTGCATTAGCTGCAGACATTGTGAAAGTTGTTGCTAATTTTTCCTGCTTATGGCTATGGGGGTAAGGATGACTGGTCCCACATACGTTGAATGTGAAATTCGTACTGATACGCGCTTCAGGCTAGCAATATTCTTCTTCTTCATTGCCAGCTTCGCACATTGGTCTGCCATTGGACCGGGCCGGATGGTCTTTTCGATGGCATGGTTCTCATTCGTATTCCCGAACACGGCACTGATAACGGCAACCTTTGCAATTGGAAAGGCCTTTTCTTGCAAGGCAATATCCATCATCGGCTGCGCTATGGTGTTTCCGCTAATCTTGATGTATATTTTTGTCTGTTATATGATGGTGCGTGCCATCGTGCACCGCCAAATACTTTGGCCTCAAAAAGGAGAAGATAAAGATGAAGGAGGCTTTGAGGTCAACCGAATAAAGCCTGAGTCGCCAGGTGAGAATACACCTGTATAAAGGCGTGCCAAAGTCTCGCTCTTGCAGGCGAATGGAAGTTGTTACTGAGAGGGGATGAAGATGAAATCTTCGAAGGCTTTCTTGTTTGGGTCATTTTAGCGCAGCATATATACCCATAGATGCATATAATCGGGTACCGAACGACGATAAAAGTTCTCTTGGTCAAAATAAATTACTGCTATCCTTGGGAGCTGAAACGACTGTTTTCTGTGTTTACTTAGTAAGTGAGGGGTGTATCTGGCAAAAATGGAGACTCCTACTTAGTGGAGGGGTCCGAATACCCCGCCATAGAACTAGTTAGGGAATTACACTACTCCTAAGGTTATGAGCTAACCTGAGTAAGGTATATATTCTGAAATTGCAGTATGGGTTTCCTGTAATAAGCATAGGATCTACGTGACTAGTAAAGAAGCTTTGTACAGAAGAACGCAAGAGTACGCATATCAGGAACATCCTGTTTTGGATACTGCCTAGCGACGGAGACCTCCGTCCTCCGCCTCTCCAACTGATTTCCATTACTGATGGCAGGAACAGACCATACTCAAATTGGAATCAGAACCCATACTAGCGCATGAAAATACACCCTGATAGGCCACAATACAGTCCCCGCATTCCGGATATGGTAAAGCCCCCCATGGGCCCATGATTTGATCTGTCTCTGCCGTGTGGCAGCCCGGCGGGCAAAAGTACTCGGCAGAGAACCTTATCCAGTTATCCAGCTTGTGACGCAGGTGTTCCTTTAATCCTAATTTAAAAATTTGAGTAAAAAAAACGAGGGGTAACAAAAAAAAAACGAAAAGGCAAAAAAAATTTCTGGGTTCAAATTTACCCCTCATATGTGATCTTGCCATCTCCGTACTCATTAGTATCTTCACCTATCCATCTCACTTGTACACGCCCGACCTTCGGTCAAGCCTTTTGATTATCTCCAACTTTACTTATCATATCGCCTCAATCGGTCAATTCCTGCGAACCCCTCGCACCCGCCGTCAAAATGCCGCAGAAGGTTTATGTCACGTACAACCAGGTATGCAGGTTGCTTTCGAAATCTCTACATTTTCCAAGCCCTTCAGCCACATGTAGCTGGTCTTGGTTTTCGGGCTTGTGTGAGGCGTATCTGCCATTGCCGGTCTTGCATGCACATACTTCTCGATCATTTGGCCACATGCCTACGTCGCAGCCTAGCTTGGCCGTCACACATTTGTCCGTTCAGTTTGCAACAATCCGCTAACATCCGAATGTCCTTGGCAGGTTCACAAACTATGCCAGGCCTCCGCTGACAAGATCCTGGACACCTTCCAGCCCAATCTTATGATTGCTATCGGCGGTGGTGGCTACATCCCTGCCCGCATTCTCCGGTTCGTCGGAATAAAACACAGCCTCATTTAGGAACCCTATTCTGACGTTTATATTTCACACAGTTCTTTCTTGAAGCGCACTGGAGAGCCTAACATCCCCATCCAGGCCATCGGTTTGTCGCTCTACGAGGACCTGGGTCGTGGTGACGCCGAAGAAGTTCCCGGAACCAAGGTCACCCGTACACAATGGCTGGACCTGAGCTCCCTGGAAATGGCCAACCTCATTGGCAAGAACATCCTCATTGTTGACGAAGTTGACGATACCCGTACCACCCTCGAATATGCCGTCAGCGAGCTCCAGAAGGACGTCGAGATTGCGCAGAAGCAGCTCGGCCGTGAAGGCGAGAAGACCAACTTCTTCGTCTACGTTGTTCACGTACGTTTATCATCACGATTTCGTTCCTTTCGCCGAACATATCTCCTTCATACGACTAACAATCTCTTCAGAACAAGGACAAGCCGAAGAAGGGTGTCTTGCCCGAGGATATGATGACTTCTGGCCGTTACCACGCATCCGTCACGACCGCTGATGTCTGGATCTGCTATCCTTGGGAAGCTAAGTACGTCATTGGACAAAACGCCGGAGTATGGATATACATGCTAACATATACATCTTACAGGGACATTGACGAGCATGACAGACTGGCTCAGGAGAACCCTCTCGTCTGAGATTCTTCTACTCAGCGCGATTTTGCTCTCGCTTAGCCACTATTTTACCTCGTCTTTTCATGCCTAGAAATCCTGGTTAAGCCATCCACGCATAGATACCGGCTCTCGTTGGTTGCATATATGCTGCGTTCCCCCGTTAGATATTGGAAGAAGAGTTTTGCATGTTTCAGGTTTGCTACGGAAAGGTGTTTTGATGGGTTTATTTGATAGAACAAAAGCAATTTTGGTACCATGAATGATGAAGATCTTAGCTTATATTTTGCCCTTGAATAACGCCTGCGTATCTCTCACATAGACTGGTATTGCCTTTTAATAACAGTTGCGCTTCAGATTCGCTCACGCAGAATTCGAAACAATTCGTTTTCTCCATGGCGTTCAATATAGAATGTAGATGGCAATGTGTCATATTACAAAGATCCCCAGATAGGGGAATGACACCACAAAACATTACCCGTAACTGCAACAGCAGTAGTTCCATAGTAATACACATGCCATGTATAGACATACAAACACACAGAATCGAATTCGACCGCTGAAACCCAAATACTCAGACTAAGATAACGGTTTACTTCAGTCCAATGGCATCGAATACACCTCCACATACAGAACATCAAATGAACAATGCTCCAAGGGCCCTATTTGCCCCAGGAAAACCTAACATTGAAAGAAGCTAGTAGTAATAAACCGCCCCCATCCAAGTAAACCAGACCACCATATTGCACAAACCAGCCGAATCAACAAGAAAAGAAACTGATATGGTATTGGGAAGTGAGGGGTTCGCTGTTTTTAATCGACATCGACATTCGCTCTGCGCAATTCGGCCTTGGCCTGTTCGATCTCCTTTTGTAGCTCTTCATGCGCCTCGGGCACGTCATTGAATGTGAGGATGGCCAGACCCAGTCGGCCGAGAAGATAACAGCCAAAACTTATTAGTGCGTAGAATGGGAGCTGAAAAAGATAAGGTGCAATGGTTAGCAAGTAGGGAGTGTGGGATTGCGGATCGGAGATATTGTAGATGAAGGAGGGGGTGGTGTGGGTTGTTGGTCGCAGAGGTGGGCGATGGGGAAACGTACAACAGGGATGACTTCAGTCTGGACTGTTTCGTTGAGAGGAACGAGACCGAGGTAGAGGACTAGGTAGAGCTGAACATGTGGAAATTATGCTGGTTAGTGACGTGGTTTGCGACAATTGTACAGCGTGTTAGACGGAGCTAGTAGCATACCGAGGAGACAAGTAGGAGAACGGAGAGAGTCTGCTGAGCACGCGTCATGGTGATGTTTGTGTAATGTCGAAAGAAAAGACTTGGTCAAGATGAAATGGAGTAAAAGAGGGTAGAAGTGAAAGAAAAGGACAATGTGATGTTACAATGTTGCCCGGGTTTAAAATGAAAGACTGCGGGAGAGTTAAGCTGGTGTCTGTTCTGTCTGTCTGTCTGTCTGTACGGAGCGCCTGGCCAAGTTGCCATATCGGGGCGGGTCTGGACTTGCGGCTTGGGGCTAGTCGGGTCGCCGTACGCCATCCCAATTCAGGTTTAGTTTCTGTTACTCCTGGTTATGGACACAAAATTGATTAATCAATTATTATTAACTAGTCAACTGGACTACAGGGTACCTGACAAGGTAAGTAAGGGTCAAGGAGGGGTACATTTACTTCCCCCTCTTATGACGTTGGGGGTTAAGTCAAGTCTCTGGAAACTAGAGACCTGCGTCTGTCTCGTGGTTAGTTGGTATGTTGTGAGTGCTGTGTACTGTGAGGTATAGTATGTAAAAGTATGGATTATCTTTGCAATGTTAGGTTGGGCATGTTGAATAAAGAAACAAGTAAAAGTATCCAGAAATTGCTTATTCTGGTTATTTTGTCTCTCCTCGCAAGTAGAGCCTCTGGCGTAGCAGAGAGTCAGTACTAGTACCTACTTACTACTTTTGAGAAGACACCACTCTGCATCCTATTTGGATTCCTCGGGTGCAATAGTTTCTCGCGCTAACTCCGATCAGGTGAAGAACACCATTGTCGCTCAATACTCTATAGTATTCATCCTAGCAATCATTTACAACCTCATGATCGAGCAGTTCGTAACTCTAACATAGCCTCGGATTTTGAAGAACAGCGCCTTTTTATTGTCTCACAATAACCACCGAGCTTGGGCTTGCTTTACCGACCAAAAGCGGGCTTCAAGAAATGGAACCCCCTAGTGGCAGGATTGATGTCCCAGGGAGCATGCAGGGCAACGACCAGCAATCTGATCTGACCCCAGGGACAGTTGGGACTGTCCATAGAGTACAATGCCCCCCTCTCAGTCAAGTTCTCTCCGAATTGGCTTCACTGCCACCGGCCTCCACACTTGCGGCAACTGAACCGTTGCCATCTGAAGAACAGAAGAACTTGTTCGAGTCCCTGCAAAATTGCCTCAAAGCTGCAGAGAATGCAGACATTTCGGACGCTCTGAAAGATACTCCAGATATTCTTCGGAAGCTGTGGAAGTGCAGATCACCTTACCTAGTACCAGCTGCAGAGGCTATGGCGAATGGCAGCAGAGCCCGTAAGTCATCAACCACTTCGGTGGTATTATCATCTCCGTCAACCAAGCACTTTTTGTCTTGTCACCTAGCTAATATTGCTGTTAGCCTTATGGCGGGTCTCCTATGGCGAGATTGGAGTTTTCGACTTTTTCCTCCAGCTCATAGCATCGAAGGAGACTATTGATAACAGAGTCATCCTCCATGCGTTACGGCTCGTCGGCAATTCCTGTGCTGACACTAGTGAGTTCCCTGGCCCCTAGGGGATTTGAAGAAAGCTCAATTCTGATTTTCTCAGATGAGAATAGAGAGACTGTAGTGGAGCACAATTACACGGCTGCTATTGTCCAGCACTCAAGCAACCCCGATTTGATTCAAGTGGTAATCCCTGTCCTGTATAACATTTGCATCGACTTCGGTAATTGGAACTCCTGCTCGGATTTCAAAGCGAGCTACGATACTGACGACTTATAGGGCCTGCTCAGACACAGTTGGCTGCCGATAAGATAGTCTATATTCTCCTAAAATTAGTAAAAGATGGTGCATTCAAGGACAAGGATGCCCTGCTTGACTACGTCTTTGAGCTTATTGAGTTGGTTGGAGAACAAGGCATGACTTCGCTTCCCCAATTTTGCATTTCTATTCTAACTGTGGGAACGCCCAGAACAAGGAATCGCCTCGTCTCCCGATGGGACAATCTCGCTTCTTGTAGAGCTTGCTCTTGACGAAGAAGTCGCTTCCACCCCATCCCGTTTCTCCGGACTTGTCAGTGGCCTGGCGGCATATCTAAACCATACGCGCTTTCAAGAAATCTGCATATCCAGTTATACAGTGCCCAGCATTCTAGCGTTGCTCAGCCGGTCACTGACCTTTAATACTGAGTCATCTGCTGAGGATACCCAGGCACTAGCACAGTCACGGTTGAAGATCAACCAAATCCTCGCGGAGATCTCTGGATCGACCTCATTCGCGCAGTACTATCCGCTGGATTCCCCTCTGGCCCAGTCTCTCAAGACGTGGCTAAAGTCGACGGAAGATCAGCTGCAGATATGCTCCTGTGTTATCCTGGGCAACTTGGCTCGCTCAGACGCGACCTGTGAAAGGATGGTTCAAGATCTGAAAATACATGAAGAACTGATATCTATCCTTAAGAGTGATGTGAGAGGCGCGGTCTTACACTCTGCGCTTGGATTCTTGAAGAACCTTGCGATTGCTGGTAATAACAGGCTGGTACTGGGAGAGGCTGGCATACTCCCAGCGGTTTCACGCTTATGGCAATACGAGTCCGTCCCCCAGGTTCAATTCGCCGCCACAAGCATCACACGACAGGTGATTGTGGCAGCGATTGATAATATTTCTCGTCTCCTAGAGGGACTCCCCAGGGACGGCACTGATTCCAACGACGAACGAACGTTTTTGTCTTTGCTACTTGCTCTCTTCCAGAAGACAGACTCTACTCCCATCAAAACAGAGATTGGACGCACCGTAGCCTCCATATGCCGTACTTTGGTGCCAAAGTCTCGGGAAGAGGATCCTACTGCTGTTGCCCTGCTGGACAGGTTCTTCGACTTACATGAGGATATCGCGCTGCCGGTTGGTGCTATGATCGCCCAATCACAATGGCCTGTTGTCCGGAGTGAAGGCTGGTTCGCCATGGCCCTTATGGCGTCCAATAAAGCGGGCGCCATGGCAGTCTCAAGATTCCTGCAAAGGATGGAGATCCTTCCACTGCTTGAGAAGACGCTGAGTGCAGAAGCCTCGGAACCCACGGAGGAGACCGAACAAGTGCAGGTGAAGAAAGATCGTGACAATATTTCTGTCCTGGTGCAGGAGTTGTTGAAGAGCGATGTAAGTCTATCCTCAGAACTACAATTTTAGCCATGATTGGTATTGACGCCCCCCTGCTAGCCCGACACGCTTGCCGAAACCGATAAATCTACCATGCAGCAGTTAATGCACAGCCATGTGTCCAGGCATCTTCAAGACTCCAAGTCAACAGTGAATGGTTAGATACAGATTCCTTTTAGACAGTGGCTTGCCGGCCGGTGTTGGCTGCGATTTTGTAAGCTTTGGATGAGCTTTTCTAGTCAAATGGATAAAGCCGGGTTATTAGACTCCATAGAATGAAAGATGGATTGCGAAGCGGGCGCCTGCATGAAAGTGTAGAAATTGTATGAACTACTAAACCATAACTAGTAGCATTGGGAGAGAACAAGTACTGCTCGATGACGTCGCCCCACGTGCTTGGCCCGCCGGCTGGGCTTCCTGTCCATCCCGAAACTCCAACAAACAACCAAGCAAGCGCATCTCTTCTTAGCTCCCTCCCTCGCCTTTATTATGACCGCCCGGGCCAGCTATTCTGCTTTCGATGACTGATTCACCTGCTCTCGAGCCGGTGTCTTTACGAGAACATGAGGACGGCCGTCCTCGCGAGCCGTTTCTGTTTAAGCCGTGGTAGAAATCCACTACTACTGTCCCGCCTTCTTCCGCAGCCTCGATTGCATTTCGCGCGCAGGCCATTATGGACGCAGCAGCCTTTGCGAAGACCTCCGAGGGGAGGTCCCTCGATCAGAACTGTTCTCATTGCTGCTATGACGCCAGGAGCATTCCTACAACTGGCCGAGGATGGAGATGACGACAACGGGAAGACCGGCGAGATGCAGATGCTGGAAGTCTCGCGCCAGGAGGTACGAAAGACCGTCGACGGCGATGCGCGAGGCTTGAAGCGACTCTGGCAAACACTGTACGTGTTTACATACTGTTACATATATGATCCGATTGCGACGGGCTTCCGGTTTGTCCATCTCGTCATAATCTTCCTGCCTGTCATCCTTACGGCTCCGACGATATGCTTTGGAAAGCAGTTGAAGGATCGCGAGGGCATACGCACAGGGACTCTCTGGTGGTATAGGTTTTTGGTCCGATCTATGGAACGGGCAGGCCCAGCGTTTATCAAGGTAAATAATCAGTCGCCGAGCTCTTTCAATCCGTGCTCTACTCATTCGCGGTCTTCATCTAGCTTGGACAATGGGCGGCCTCACGTACCGATATCTTCCCACCGGAACTTTGCGACATCATGTCATCACTGCATTCCAATGCACCTGCACACTCATTGCATCAAACGAAGCGAACAATAAGGAAGGCATTCAATTGGCTGCCATTCGAAGACATTTTCGAGGAATTCCAAGAAGAACCATTGGGCGTGGGCGCTATCGCGCAGGTATACAAGGCGAAGCTGAAGCCCAATCTTGCGGGGACCGATGACGATATCGACCGTCATCCACATGGTCTACGAGACAAGGTACGAAAGAACGTTGGGGCGTTAGTCAAGAGCTCTCCTCAAAGGGTACCATCGTCCTATGTAGCCGTCAAGGTGCTTCATCCGAGGGTAGAACGCGTGATTCACAGAGATCTGAAAATCATGTCGTTCTTCGCATCCTTGGTCAACGCCATACCTACCATGAATTGGCTATCTTTACCGGATGAAGTCCATCAGTTTGGTGAAATGATGAAATTACAACTGGATCTACGTATTGAAGCCACAAACCTCGTCATGTTCCGTGAGAAGTTCAGGTCACGCACCACAGCCTGGTTCCCATACCCGTATCTGGACTACTCTACCCGCGAGGTGCTCGTTGAGGAGTTTGCACAGGGTATTCCCTTATCGACCTTCCTCGAGGTAGGTGGAGGTGTCTACCAGGAAGAGATCGCGAACGAAGGCTTGGATGCCTTCCTCCATATGCTTTTGATCGATAACTTCGTTCACGCGGATCTGCACCCCGGAAATATCATGGTTCGATTCTACCGGCCGAGTGAATTGGACCTATCACTGGGAAATAAGTCTCGCGCATCGGAGGCACCATCTGCGGAAGAGGTTGATGTTACAGAATCTGTGCTCGCACGGTTGCGCCCACATA